GAATGAAAAGAATGAAAAGAAGAAGAATAGAAAAGAAGAATGAAAAGAAACTGAAGAAGAAGAATGAAAAGAAGAAGAAAAATGAAAAGAACGAAGAAGAACTGAAAAGAAGAATGAAAAGATTGAAAAGAAGAATGAAAAGAAGAAGAAAATGAAGAAGAAGAAGAATGAAAAGAAGAAGAAGAATGAAAAGAAGAATGAAAAGAAGAATGAAAAGAGAAGAAGAAGACATGAAAAGAAGAAGAAGAAGAATGAAAAGAAGAATGAAAAGAAGAAGAAGAAGAATGAAAAGATAAGAATGAAAAGAAAGAATTAATGAAAAGAAGAAGAATGAAAAGAAGAAGAAGAAGAGATGAAAAAGAAGAAGATGAAGATGGAAGAAAAGAAGAAGAAGGAAGAAGAAAAGAAGAAAATGAAGAAGAAGAAGAATGAAAAGAAGAAGAAGAATGAAAGAAGAATGAAAAGAATGAAAAGAAGAAGAAATGAAAAGAAGAAGAAGAAAAAATGAAGAATGAAAAGAAGAAGAAGAAGAATGAAAAGAAGAATGAAAAGAATGAAAAGAAGAAGTATTCCAGTACAGCAAAAAGTGTATCTGCAGAGAGCTCCGCTATTTCTGACAGTTCTCTGACAGTTCCTTCACATTTACAGCGGTTGAAACATTGGTATCTATTTGTTTCCGAATAAAAACATCTGTATCCTAAATGGAAACAAAAGATAGATACAATGTTTCAACCGCTGTACATGTGAAGGAACTGTCAGAGAACTGTCAGAAATAGCGGAGCTCTCTGCAGGGACACTTTTTGCCGGCTGATCGGGGAAAATTCGATTCGTGCATCCGAAGTTTGCTAATATTCGGATTCGACGCGAATCGAATTTTTCCTAATATTCGAAACGAATTCCACTTCGCCAAGTTCGATTCGCTCATCTCTAATAGTAGACTAGCAGTTGTCTGTTTGGGAATGTGTGTTTTCCGGGACAATTTACCCAGTGTCACCACAGGGAATGACAGTTTAGGGGGGGTAAGATTAGGGACTGTAAATAAGGAGAGAGAAAAAAGAAAAGTACAGGGACAAAGGATAGCTCCTTGAGACATACCGGCCTTCGTGTATTGAATCCCCCAAAAAATGCAGCTGGAGGGGATGCTACTGAGAATATGCCCAGGTCTAGTCTAATAATTCAGGCTCAGTCTAGGGGATGACTTTATTTTTGTATTTTTTTTTTAGAATTCATTGACAAATAAGTAGAAAAAGAGAGGGGTTTAGGGTCAAAGGATACTATAAAATGGAATTAGCACTCAATGGGAGTACAAACCTCTTAGTAGAAAAAAAAACAATTCTTTCAAGAGCAGGTGCATGCTACATAACCAAATCAGGTCTTACTTAAAATGTCCTGGGAGCTGTCTGCCACCCAGCATCCACAGGTAGGTCCTCAGTGAGGAAGATTAAAGATCCTTGTCCAGACCAGGACTTCAGGACAATACCTTCCAGGAAAAAGTCCATTAGACATCTCCTCCAGGCCCTCAGTCCAGCTCCTGCTGAGGCCAGACTGCAATCTCTTTTCAGTAGCTCTCTCCCAGGGGGCAGCAGCCCAGGGGAACTGGAGCCTTCCTTGGAGAGGAAACAACACTCTGCTCAGGCAGCCATTCAAACATTTTCCACCTCCCATCCACCTTCTGGACTCATCCTTTCTGGAGTATCTGGAGCATCATAAATATTCATGCTGGCTATATGAACTTTCCTGCCCTGCATTCTGGAAGCTTCTTTCGTAAGCAGATGAGAGAAATCAAAGTCCCAGATCAGGAAACCCTGAACAGACAAAAACCCATAGATCACTGCTCCATGCACTACAGTGAAACGAAAAACTAAATTTATCCTAGCAGCCTAAATAGAGGAGGACGCTACAAAAGCAAAATAAGTGCCCAACCATTTTAGAAGTACACATATACATTATAGTACAGCAACGATGGTAAGCCACACAAGAAAAATGAACAGACTTACTAAACTACATGGTATCTGTGTTCTGTTTCAAATGCCACTTTATGCATTGACATACCTTCTTAGACCTTGTCTGTCCGGACAGTATGGTCACCTGCTGACTTGGCACCATCCACAGACATCTCAACCCCTAAAAAAAAAAACAGAAGTAGAATCCCACCCAACAATTTTATTTCACATAATTGCTGTACAGAGGATTTTTTTCTAGTCTTTTTAAGTGTAAGAAGACAATGGGGTTGATTTACTAAAAACTGGAGAGTGCAAAATCTGGTGCAGCTCTGAACGACAGCCAATCAGCTTCTAACTTCAGCTTGTTCAATTAGGCTTTGACAATATAATCCTGGAACCTGATGGTTTCCATGCAGAGTTGCACCAGAACTAACACTGCCTGAGGGAACTTGGAAGAAACAGGAGGGTCTAACTAGGATGGAACTAACTAGCATTAAACAGGAGGGTAGGACAGATGCATATACCAAACAACATAGTAAATAAAATGTAGTGCCTCAAAACCTCCACTAGATAGCAGCATCCTATAGAACAATAGTAACCTTATGATGCAATTCAGTACAATACAGACAAAATGTAAATAGAAGTGAGACAGAAACAATCTCAGTGTGTGCTATTACAAAGCAACTAAGTTGTTGAACGCAGGACATTTTTCTGTTACAGATACTTGTGTTGCAATTTAGGCCAATGTACAATATTACCCAACATTTGTTGCAAGCTGCAATATTTTGTGTTCTGTTGTAATGGACCCAAATAATTAAAGTAGAATTCCAGCTAAGTCTTAACTAACCTGATGCTCTTTCATACATGCAGAATTTGTATATATCTTTGGAGTGTCCTGATAGAGTATGCTGGTCCAGATCCTTCAATTTATATTCGAGATAACAGCTACTTGAATGCCCCAAGTTATGCTGATGTATTACTTTGTTGGGACTTGTGGAACCCCTGGCCCCAAGAAGGACCGCTAAAATATTGCTTGGAGTAGTACTGATTTATGGAAGAAAAACAGCTGTATTAAAATAGAAATCTTCTTTACCCCAAACTTAAGCCACTTGGAAATCTTTGGTGAATTCTGCTCTTCCATTATACAGGGTCACTTACAAAAGTAGAGGGTTGTCCATCAAAATTCAATAAAGTTTGGTCAATGTGGCTGGAAATCCCCAACACAGTAGCTTAATTGTTGATGGTACATAGTCTTTCTGTATTCTGTACAACAACTACATCAGTATTTAGTAGAGATACATTCTTCAACCAGTAGATGGCAGTGTTTTTAGAAATTTGTATCTGCATCTATGGTACAGTATACTCTTATGACTTTTCTCTAATATAAAGTTTCCTGTTTGCAGTGAAGTTGAAAAGCACATGTGGACTGTGCACTGCCTGTTCTGTAGGGCTTTATACAGAATTTCTAACAGTTGTTCATATACCTGTTAGCCTGGAAATAGTTTTTCAGACTTGGTGAGCCCCCGACTCGGATTTATTCCTGATATGTGGAGTGCGCCTCCTGCTGTTCTAAGGTCTGCCTCATACTTAACAATTGTATATATCACCTGCGTTATTGATCTGGGCCTACATATGGGTCCGTCCACTGCTTGTAATCTCTATACACATATTGCTGATTGATAGTTTATTTGGTTTTATGAACAACTCTTAATTTTTGTTTTAGAGTTTTTATTTTGTGAGTGCTTTTGCACTGATCAACTTTGCACTGAATTTGTTTTGTGCATTTTATAAAACTCAATAAAATACAAATTGTGAAAAAAACACGTAACTAGCCATAAAATGTCTCCTCTCCCTGTGAAGACTGAGATTGAGCTCTGAAGTCACTTTTGCAGCAGTTGTTTTCTTATTCCGGTCACAATCCTGCAGAATGTTCTTTGTATCTTTCGGTCAGCTGACCAATTCGACCGTATCTTATAGCTTATCAGGCGACGTTTTCCGGAAACTATATGTTGTCATACCCTTTATTACTGTACCTCGTGTCACAGGGGCACCAGCTAAGCAGCACCAACATTTTGCCCTCTTTGAAGCTCAGTAAGTTCTGACATGGCTCCATATTAAAAGCAGCGCACACAATGAATGACGAAAGTGAGGCTTTTCCCCTCTTAGCTAGGTGTTCTCATCACACAGCGGAAGCAAAATAATGTTACATAATTTCCACTTTGGCGCGACATGTTTTCATGTTCACTTTGTCACCTGCTGATCATGTAGTGTTTCCATATTTTTGTGCAGTCCTTGCAGGGAACAGGAGTCCTATACAAGATAATCTGGAACATCCCTTTTTACTGAAAGAGTAAAGACAGGCACTGTGGGGTTGATTTACTAAAGGCTGTGCACTTTGCAAGTGCAGTGTGCTCCAGAGCTTAGTAAATGAGGGAAACTCTGATGACTGCTATCACCTAATCATGTGCAAGCAAAAATGCTATAATTTTCCTTGCATGTGATTGGCTATCCTTTGCTAAGTGAACCTTCATCTCATTTACTAAGCTCTGGAGCAAATGCCCTACAAAGTTCAACTACACTTGCAAAGTGCACAGTCTATTTGCTTTTTAGTAAAATCAACCCCTTTGATTCTTACAGTGCTGGATGTATTCCCTTATAGCAGCGGTTCTCAACCTGGGGGTCGCGACCCCTTTGGGGGTCGAACGACCATTTCCCAGGGTCGCCTAAGACCATCGGAAAACACATATTTCCGATGGTCTTAGGAACCGAGACACCGCTCCTGTCTCCGGCGATGTGTGGGCGGGATGATATGCTGCCCCTGTCACCGCCGTCCTCCCTCGCCGCTGATGGCCACCGGAACTGTAGCTCAGGAGAGGCACACAGGCGGCCAATCACCGGCGAGGAGGTGGAGCTTGGAGAGAGGAGGAGCCGAGCGGCAGCGCGCGGAAGATCGAAGAAGATCGAGGGAGCTGCTAGGAGCGAGTGGAAGAGAGAGGCCAGAGAAGGAAGACAGCTGACAGGTAAGTGCAAATTTTGCTGCTGCAGCCAGGTATGCAGGCTGTAGATGGGAGAGGGAGAGCCCGAGCCCAGGCTGGAGCAGGGGACAGCAAGGTAAGTATCATTGGTGTCAGTGGGAGGGATAGTGCCCCATCATTTTGTCACTAATACCAACGATGGGCACTATTTCCTCCCCCCCACTGACACCAATTATGGGGCACTATTCCTCCCCTCACTGACACCAACGATGGGGCACTATTCTCCCCTCACTGACACCCAACGATGGGGCACTATTCCTCCCCCCACTGACACCAACGATGGGGCACTATTCCTCCCCCCACTGACACCAACGATGGGCACTATTCGTCCCCCCACTGACACCAACGATGGGGCACTATTCCTCCCCCCACTGACACCAACGATGGGGCACTATTCCTCCCCCCACTGACACCAACGATGGGGCACTATTCCTCCCCTCACTGACACCAACGATGGGGCACTATTCCTCCCCCCACTGACACCAACGATGGGGGGCACTATTCCTCCCCTCACTGACACCAACGATGGGGCACTATTCCTCCCCTCACTGACACCAACGATGGGGCACTATTCCTCCCCCCCCACTGACACCAACGATGGGGCACTATTCCTCCCCTCACTGACACCAACGATGGGGCACTATTCCTCCCCTCACTGACACCAACGATGGGGCACTATTCCTCCCCCACTGACAACCAACGATGGGGCACTATTCCCGACCCCCCACTGACACCAACGATGGGGCACTATTCCTCCCCCCACTGACACCAACGATGGGGCACTATTCCTCCCACTGACACCCACAATGGGGCACTATTCCTCCCCACTGACACCACAATGGGGCACTATTCCTCCCACTGACACCCACGATGGGGCACTGTTCCTCCCACTGACGCCAATGATGGGGCACTATTCCTCCCACTGACGCCAATGATGGGGCACTATTCCTCCCACTGACGCCAATGATGGGGCACTATTCCTCCCACTGACACCAATGATGGGGCACTATTCCTCCCACTGATACCAATGATGGGGCACTATTCCTCCCACTGATACCAATGATGGGGCACTATTCCTTCCACTGATACCAATGATGGGCACTATTCCTCCCACTGATACCAAATGATGGGGCACTATTCCTCCCACTGACCACCAATGATGGGGACACTATTCCTTCGAGCCCACTGACACCAATGATGACACTATTCCTCCCACTGACACCAATGATGGGGTACTATTCCTTCCACTGATACCAATGATGGGCACTATTCCTCCCACTGACACCAATGATGGGGCATTATTCCTCCCACTGACACCAATGATGGGGCACTATTCCTCCCACTGATACCAATGATGGGGCACTATTTCCTCCCACTGATACCAATGATGGGGCACTATTCCTCCCACTGATACCAATGATGGGGCACTATTCCTCCCACTGATACCAATGATGGGGCACTATTCCTCCCACTGACGCCAATGATTGGGCACTATTCCTCCCACTGACACCAATGATTGTACACTATTCCTCCCACTGACACCAATGATGGAGCACTATTCCTATCCACTGACACACAGAATGATGGAGCACTATTCCTCCCACTGATGCCAATGATGGGCACTATTCCTCCCACTGACGCCAATGATTGTACACTATTATTCCTCCCACTGACACCAATGATGGAGCACTATTCCTCCCACTGACACCAATGGATGGGGCACTATATTCCTCCCACTGATACTAATGATGGGGCACTATTCCTCCCACTGACACCAATGATGGGGCACTATTCCTCCCACTGACACCAATGATGGGGCACTATTTCTCCCACTGACACCAATGATGGGGCACTATTCCTCCCACTGATACCAATGATGGGGCACTATTCCTCCCACTGATACCAATGATGGGGCACTATTCCTCCCACTGATACCAATGATGGGCACTATATTCTCCCACTGACACCAATGATGGGGCACTATTCCTCCCACTGACCAATGATGGGGCACTATTCCTCCCACTGATACCAATGATGGGTACTATTCCTCCCACTGATACCAATGATGGGGCACTATTCCTCCCACTCATACCAATGATGGGGCACTATTCCTCCCACTGATACCAATGATGGGGCACTATTCCTCCCACTGATACCAATGATGGAGCACTATTCCTCCCACTGATACCAATGATGGGGCACTATTCCTCCCACTGATACCAATGATGGGGCACTATTCCTTTCCACTGACACCAATGATGGGGCACTATTCCTTCCACTGATACCAATGATGGGGCACTATTCCTTCCACTGATACTAATGATGGGGCACTATTCCTCCCACTGATACCAATTATGGGGCAATATTCCTCCCACTGATACCAATGATGGGACACTATTCCTCCCACTGACACCAATGATGGGACACTATTCCTCCCACTGACACCAATGATGGGGCAACTATTCCTCCCACTGATACCAACGATGGGACACTATTCATCCCACTGACATCAGTGATAGACACTATTCATCCCACTGACATCAGTGATGGGGCGCTAGTCCTCCCACTGCAAAATTACAGTTATGAAGTAGCAACGAAAATAATTTTATGGTTGGGGGTCACCACAACATGAGGAACTGTATTAAGGGGTCGCGGCATTAGAAAGGTTGAGAACCACTGCCTTATAGGAAAGCCCACAAATTGGGCTTCGGCTTGGGGTACAGCCAGATTTAAAAAGAACACAGAATGGGACTGAGTGCTTTATGCAATTGGTCCCCTGGGGGATTCGAAAACTTTTTTTTAATGTTTTAGTGATATTTTATCTGCTTCCCCCCTGCTCTATAGTAGATATACTGCTACAGGGTGGCAGGGTGCGCAAAAACATGTATATATACATGATTTTGCTTTCCCGGGTAGGGGGCGCGTGCCCCCTACCCGCGCCCGCTATTTGCAGCCTGTCAATCACCAGGTCCCGGCCGGTGGTTACTTGCTTCCGGTGATCAAGGAACATTACCGATGGAGGGAGAGAACTGTATGTAAATAATACAGATCTCTCCCGTCAGCTCCTGCACACTGCTTTGTATGGCTGTGCATAGCACAACCATATAAAGCAGTGTGCTTACAGTTGAAAGCACTAACACAACCCACAGTACAACGGCACACAGTTAACCCTTTGATCGCCCCACGTTGACCCCTTCCTACCCAGTGCCATTACTATAGTGTCAGTGCTTTTTATTAGTCGCTGATCACCGCCATTACTAGTAAAAATAAAATTGAAAAAACCCCAGTATATAATACCGCCATTTGTAAACGCTATAACTTTCACGTAAACCAATTAATTTACACGTATTGGGATTTTTTTTAGCAAAGACATGTAGCAGAATACATTTTGGCCTAAATTATAACGAAATTAGATTTTTAAAATATGTTTACTGGACATGTTTAATTGCAAAAAGTCAAAAATATTGTTTTTTATTCTCAAAATTCTTTTTTTTTTTTTTATAGCGCAAAAAATAAAAAAACGCACAGGTGATCAAATCCCTCCAAAAGAAAGCTCTATTTGCCATTCGCGGCCACGGCTGTCAATCACTGGGTTGATTGCCGAGCATCTCAGACAGGGAGAACTGTTTGTAAACAAAACAGTTCTCCTCCTTGTCAGCTCCTGAACACTGCTTTGCATGGCTGTGCTTACAGTAAACCACGCGGACACGGCACATAGTAAAGCAGCACACAGTTAACCCTTTGATCGCCCTCATGTTAACCCCTTCCTGCCCAGTGTCATTAGTACAGTGTCAGTGCTTTTTTTTTTTTTTTAGCACTGATCCCTGTATTGGTCTCACTGGGGATGTCAGTGACACCAAGTCAGTTCTCCCCAGGGTCAGAATGCCCGCCACAATCCCGCAGTCCCGCTATAAGTCATTGATCGACCGCCATTACTAGTAAATGTTTTTTTTAAATCCCAGTATATATACCGTCTTTTGTAAATGCTATAACTTTCACATACACCAATTAATTTACATGTTATCAGGATTTTTTTCTTAGCAAAGACATGTCGCAGAATACATTTTTGGCCTCAATTTATGAAGAAATTTGATTTGTTAATTTTTTTTTACTAGACATGTTTAATAGCAAAAAGTAAAAAATATATAGTTTTTTTTTTTCCTCAAAATTGTCGGTCTTTTTTTTTTATAGGGCAAAGAATTAAAACGCAGAGGCAATCAAATACCACCGAAAGAAAGCTCAATTCGTGGGAAAAAAATGACATAAATTTCATTTGGGTGCAGTGTTGCATGACCGTGCAATTGTCAGTTAAAGTAATGCAGCACCGTAACGTAAAAAAATGGCCTGGTCAAGAAGGGGGGTAAATCCTCAGGAGGGCAACTGGTTAAAATAAGTAATACAGATACACAAGTGCTATATAATTTTTTTTTAAAAGATAGTTGCTTCTTTATTTACAGTATAAAAACCCTGCAGAATGAATAGGAATGTGACACTTCTAGGAGTGTTGGATCCTAATATCCTCCAGCCCCCGCAGCTGTCACACTGCTTCTGCTTTCAGCCCCTGTGGTCAGTGTGGCTTGGATGGGAGCTGTGGACACTCCCAAGTCTCTCTGCTTGCACACACTCCCTGCAAAGTTGTACACTATTAATGATTAAGCTGAGGTCTCTCTTAGTGGCATATTACGTGGCATACGTGTGCTGTGTGTAAAGCATGTAGGCTTAGGTCCTGCTAACTATAGTCCTGTCCCACTATTTGCAGTGTGCAATCTCAAGACATGCTAAGTGCACGACCAGATCTTTTACAGTCCTAACAACACCCCTGCCAATGGTCACTAGAAACAGAAAAAAGGCCAATCTTCCCAACAGAGACACAGACAGCAACAGGGTACTCCAGTTTCCTCCCACACTCCAAAGACATGCTGGTAGGTTAATTGGCTCCTGTCTAAATTGGCCCTAGTATGTGTATAATGTGAGTTAGGGACCTTAGAGTGTTCTCACCTTGAGGGTTAGGTGACTGATGTGAATGTACAATATATATGGTAAAGCGCTGCATAAATTGACGGCGCTATATAAGTACATGAAATATGAATAATAAAAACCTATCAGAAGGTTCTAACTGTTACGCACAAAATTTAAAAATAAATGTGTGGACTGACCCTAAAGAATGGTGGAATTTGTTTCTAACTCCTATTATGAAGCTATATTATGTGTAATGCAGCTCTGGATATAAGCACACATGAAGGGACGATATAAAAAGCTAACAGAATATAAAGTCACTTTCTATACCAGTAAAGCATACTTTTTGGAAGGCATACTGCCATCCTCAGAGGTGCAACTACAGTGACATCTAGTGAAAAAATGAGGAACTAATTCACTAACAAAAAGCACCCAAAAGCTGCATCAGTAATGTGGGGTGCATTAATTTTTCTTATATTATTGGTACTTGTATAGCGCCATGAATTTACGCAGCACTTTAAACATATATTTTGTTCATTCACATCAGTCCCCTGCCCTCAGTGAGCTTACAATCTAAGGGTCCCTAATTCACTCTAAGGCCCCTAAACTACCAGCATGGCCTTCTGCCATAAGCTTTACTTAAAAACCGTTTCTCCCCCTTCCCCCGATGCCCTAAAGCAGAACTAACTGCTACATGGTGGCAGGCAGCACAAAATCCACATATATATACGTGACCAAGGTGGCGGACTGACCATTTGGAAACTCGGTGGCACTGCGCGAGGCCCGGGGTCAGTAGGGGGGCCCCATGAGATGCCCCTGGTACCTTTTTCATAGGCTTTTTGAGTTTGGGCAAGGACACAGGGGCCCCATGATCCCCTATTGCCCGGGGGACCCCATGAGTTGTCAGTCTGCCCCTGTACGTGACTTTGCATTTCTGGGGTAGTAAAAAAAATTAAAAAAGGGGGGTAAAATAAAAAAGGGGGCGCGCACACGCCATTGGCAGCTACAGCTTGTCGATCACTGGGTCCCGGACGTATATTCCTCTCCGGCACCCAGCAATCTCCGAGGAACAGTGACGGGAGAGGTTTGTATGTAAACAGTACACAGATTTCTCCCTGTCAGCCATCCAGCAATGCTGCTTTGGTCGTGCATAGCAAGAGCACTACAAAGCAGTGTGCTTAACACAGTAAAACACCACAGCATCCACTGTTAACCCTGTTGATTGCCCCACATGTAACCCCGTTCCGTGCTCAGTGTGCCATTAGTACATGTGTCAGTGCTTTTTTATTAGCACCTGATTCAGCTTTATTAGTGTCAGTGGGAGGTTAGTAAATTCCCCCCCCAGTGTCCAGAAGGCCCCCCACAATCCCCACTATATATTCCGCTGATGTCGCCGCCAGTTATTAGTCATAAAAATAAATAAATAAAAATCCCATATATATACTGCCATTTGTAAGATGGATAGAACTTTCACGTGACACTAATATACCACATATTGGAAATTTATTTTTTAGTCAGAAGACATGTACAGAATACACTTTGGCTTATGATTTATGAAAATTTTTTTATTTTTAAATTTTATGGACATTTTTATTTCAAAATATAATATATATTTTTTTTCAAAAATTGTCGGTCCTACTTTTTTGTTTATAATAGCTCACAAAATAAATAACCAGCAGAGGTGATCTAATACAACCAAATAGAAAGCTTCCATTTGTGGTAAACAAAGGACTATAAATTTCATTTGGGTGCAGCATTGTATGACCTGTAGCAATTGTCAGTTTTAAAATAACACAGCGCCAGTTCTGTAAAAAATGGCCTGGTTTAAGGAATGGGGTGGTCATGTAAAACACATGACTGTCATATACTTATTAAGATGTATCTTTGTATATGTCTCAGCTTCCTTCCCTTCCCCTCGGTTTAGTTCATGCTGTATAGCTAGTACCACGTCCTTTTCCCAGTAAGTATATGCAGCTTCAAACCTCCATGTACATTTGAAGGCAATGTCACACTATGATCTTTTGACCTATCCGATTTCACTGTTCTAAAGATTCTCATGTCAGTTTATGGAATAAACTTCACAAAGATCTATAAGATGTCTTCTGGATTGAGCCACTGCCTGTGTTATTCCAACTAAGATTTGGAGTTTATCACTATCTCATCACAACTGTAAAGTTACAGAGATCACACTACATCAATGCATAGATTGAAGAGACAGAAACTGGGGGGTAAATCCTCTGAGGGGCAAGTTGGTTAAATTTAGAACTAACAAAAAAACCCCTTTTTTATTTTTCCCATTTTGTGATTGGTAAAAGGGAAGGGTTATTCCACTGAGAAAATTTTTTTTGTGCCCATCTGCGTACCAATTGGGGTGATTTCCATTCACATCCTTGTCTCATAAGTGAGAGGAGAGTTCCTACCAAAGTTAGGGGAATCCCAAGTGTGTCCAACAGAACTAGTGTCGAGTTGGAAAGAATTTCCCCCTCTAATGATTGCGTCTGGTGTCACTCCCAAAGTTTAGAGGATTTTCTTTTTTACTTTTGTTCAATGATAAAAAGGACAAATAGGGTGATAATTGCAGCAAGTTAAATACTGACAATGTTCGAATCCCTCTGCCAATTCTAAATCCAAGAGCAAGAAAACGTTTTGGCATTTTAGTATCTAAACTGTAAAAGTCAAATCACAAGGATCAAAAATTGCAATCACACCACATCAGCTACAGATGAGTAAGCTGTGCTAAAACATGCCCCTGAAATGTTATAATATTGTGATGGTCACGAAGTGAATGTGTCTGTCAGAGGTCAGTGTACTTGCGACGAGAAATGGTGTAGCGAGCGTGAAGTAGCGATATTATACAAATCTTAAGTGCAAGCAAGAGAGATGTGATGTTGCTAAAAATACAGTCCGAGAACTCCACGTACTCTGTTGTATTGAGTGTAGTGGAGCTGGCCAGACCGATAGATTAACGCGTGCAGTTCTGTATGCAGAGCCGCTATTTGTCAGTTATCCGCGGACTGCGTACATCCAGCTGTGTGAAACACACAACAACAGTGCTTATAATAGCGAGGCTACTACTCACACGCCACAACTTAGAAGCCTACACACAAGCTGACCTATCAGTGCGAACACACATCATTCTCTATGACTGAGCAGAGGAGCTCTTCATCACTCTGAGATGAGTCACCTCGATCACTTTCTTCATGAGCCTTAGGCAACTCTTGCACTCACATCTAACGCTATATGAGCAAACAAAACCTCCAGATGTCTGATTGGTTTCTATGATATACGAGGGACGAGCTGCACTGGCCCGCAGTTTTGCAACTCCTTTGAGAAGTACAAATGAGGGCTCGGTGTCCGCTCTACCTAGGTTTTAGTAAATATCCACCAGAACCCACTGTAAGACACACACAAACAAAGCTCAGGCACCACCACCACCACTACACCTTTGGGAGACCTAGGGGAAACATTTCATTCAATGCGGATTAGTGCATAGCAAATGCGCTTGCATGGAACTTACATCCGTTGGTAGGTGTGTCAGAAAAGCTAAATGTATTCATATTAGGTCAGTGGTCCAGAATGAAACTTTGCCTCTGTGCAGGGTAGCGTGCATGGAGGGTTTATTGTCAGGGGGTTCTGTTAAATTTGAACTATACCGTATTTCCGGCGTATAAGACAGACCCCCCTACTTTTCCAGTTAAAATATAGGGATTGAGCTATACTCGCCGTATAAGACTACCCGCTTCTGACCAACGCACACCCAAATAAAAATGAAAAAAAAAAACAAAAAAAAAAAAAAAAAAAAAAAAAAAAAAAAATCATCAGAATTTGATTTCAATATGGTATGGTATTCCAATGATGGGGCACGATATGCCTCGCTCTGACACCAATGATGGGGCACGATACCGTCCCACTGACACAATGATGAGGCACTTTTTCATTTCCACCGACACCAATGATGGTGCCCTATCATTAGTGTACATGTCAGTGGTGATGAATAGTGTCCCATCATTGGTGTCAGAGCGAGGAATCATGCCCACATCTTGGTGTCAGAGCGAGGAATTGTGCCCCATCATTGGTGTCAGAGCAACGAATCGTCGCCCATCATTAGTGTCAGTGGAAGGAATAGCACGCCCCATCATTGGTGTCAGTGGGAAGAATCGTGCCCGCGATCATTGGTGTCAGTGCGGCGAGGAACAGCACCCCATCATTGGTGTCAGTGGGCGAATAGCACCCCATTAATTGGTGTCAAGTGGGAAGAATCGTGCCCATCATTGGTGTCAGTGGGAGTGAATAGCGCCAAACATCATTGGTATCAGCAGGAGAGAATAGCGCCCCATCATTGGTGTCAGCGGAGGAATAGCGCCCCATCATTGATGTCAGCGGAGAATAGTGTGTCCCATCAATGGTGTCAGTGGGGGAAAATAGCGCCCCATCATTGGTGTCATGGGAGGAATAGCGCCCTATCATTGGTGTCAGTGGGAGGAATAGCGGCCCATCATTGTTGTCAGTGGGAGGAATAGTGTCCCATCAATGGTGTCAGTGGGGGGAATAGTGCCCCATCACTTGGTGTCAGTGGAGGGAATAGCGCCCCATCATTGGTATCATATGGAAAAAAATATAAAAAAAGAGATTTTAAGAAAATATGTGCCACATCATTGGTGTCCAGTGGGGAGGAATAGTGTCCCAACATTGGTGTCAGTGGGAGGAATAGTACCCGATTGGTGGTCAGTGGAGGAATAGTACCAGACCAACCTCAGTGGGAGAGTGAATATAGTGCCACCAAATCCATTGGTGTCCAATCATGGGTCTGTGGGGTGAATAGGGAATAGTGCCCCATCGTTGGTGTCAGTGGGAGGAATTAGTGCCCCATCGTTGGTGGTGTCAGTGGGGAGAATATGGCCCCATCGTTGGTGTCCAGAGTGAGGAATTGTGAGCCCAATCGTTGGTGTCAGTGGGAGGAATAGTGCCCCAATCATTGGTGTCAGTGAACACCAATGATGGGGACACTATTCCTCCCACTGACACCAATGACACTTGCTGACCCCTGTTGCAGTATGGTGCTGCTAGCAGCCAGCATATGTGGTTGCAGCAGCACCTCTGCACTGCACACTTACCGGCTGCTCTCTCACTCGATTTTCGCAGGTCCGCTCGCTCCGTCCTTCCTGGCCCACATGAATGGCCACCCTGTGTGCCTTTCCTGAGCTACAGTTACTGGTGGCCAATCACCGGTGAGGAGGCGGAGCCGAGCGGCAGGAGTGAGGAAATGGCCGGAGTGACTGAATCAGCAGCGCTTCCTGGATGGGATCGTCGTGGGAAGCCAGGTAAGAGAGCAGCAGCCCTCTGCCCACCCCTGTACTTAGTCATAGTCCCGTTCCGTAGAAGGGGGGAACGGCGGCGGCACTGCGCCGCCCCCTCAGAAAAAGGTGCCGCCCTGACATATACCGACGTATAAGACGACCCCCAAGACGACTTTTGAGGAAGATTTTCAAGGGTCAAAAGTCATCTTATACATCGGAAAATACGGTACTATAAAATTAAAGCTGAACTATGGCATCAGCAAATATGACATAATACAAGAGTCATGTGTATCCTTCCTTGAATCTTTGTATTTATTCCAGATCTGTGCAGTAATTCAGTGTGCAAAACTTTGTCCTCTGCACAGGAGCTTCCTGTAATATATAGACTGGTCACTGCTGCTCTCTCGAGATCTCCTTCTGCAGTTTGGTGACTGGTCTTGTCTCTGTCCCCTCCCATTGTTTTCTGCAGGCAGGCCTAGTAGTGGGTTGGAGACTGGTGGTTGTCCCATCCTACATCTCTCTTCTATGTACAGCACTGTGATGGTATCATTGCTACAACTTTTACAAGGTAATATATGGGTTGCAAAGGCATTTGGTGCACACAGAGTGGATTTATATCCGTTTTTGGCTATTATTGAATATATACCAAAATAAAAGCTTTATCCTGGCCCAGAGTATCAAAGAGACATGATTTTGTTCTAAGCGGTCAAATAACAAAACATTGTAAAAACTTCTTAATTTTTTTATAGGATATTTAATAGTACAGATGAATGAGTGTCTTTTGAATGGCGCTTATCTAATTTCTGAATTTTGATGTTTTTGAGCTACTCCCATGTAACAAGCAGGAACTTTATCCTGGTCCACCCAGTTCTATTTCACTAGTCCAATGCCTCCTGTGTTGAAGAAGGTTCGATGGTCTGTAAATAAAATGGAAAAAAATATTTTTAGTCTTCGAAGAAAAAAGCTGATTTTCAGCTGTTAGTGAACACAGCTTTTTGGTTGCTAGGATGTGGCATCCTTACAACGGCGTCCTTAGCAACCAATGCCACGCCCCCTTCAGCACGCGTCTTGCTAGCTACGTGCCGAGTTTCTGGCCGCAGACTGGAGCTCATATTTGACATAAAACATGTGACCTCCAGTCCACTTTTTTTTACATGAACTTTAATGTAACAAAAAAAAACAATGGCTGAGACTGGCTCCACCGACAGGAAAAATTGACCTTCCGTCCTCGAGAGGGGTTTATTGGTTGTTACACATCTTTTTAAAAAATGGGGGGGTGGAGGTCCTTTTTTCCATCGCGTGGGGCTCCAGTCCCCGCA